CTTAGATAATAACACACCCACGCACATATAACCACAAACAATTCAAAGCATAAACATAAAATGTTTTTAGATCATCAAAAAGGTGAAGACTGAAATCAAGAGTTACACAATGTCACCCGAATTGTCGCTTCTGTTTTCAGTGCCCAAACCTTTTTGGTTATTACCAATATTTTTGGTAGTAAGTCCCAAACAGTGAAGTGAATTTTTACTTAATATGACGTCATCGCTACTCAAACTAGTGGAGTAGACTACAAATGTGCGGATAAAGACATGCATATGTGCAGGCGGTGTTTAATTGCCTCCATGCGTTCAAATTGCAAACCACTCAGAATATGCGTGTAATATGTCATAGTCGTGTAAATATGTCAGGCGTGTGAGTTGTCACAACTCACGGTAAGAGTGCCTATGGCTGAGCCAGTATTGATAATCTATGCCTATGGCTGAGTCAGCATTGATAATCTATGTGAAGCATTCCAGTCCGATGTGGCATCACAATACATGTATTGAGACTTTTTATTGAGACTTTACTTCCAAAGCATACGTTTACCTCTTTGTGTTTTTACTACCTCTTTGCTACATTGCTATCCGTTTTACCCCATAGGCTGGCCGTTTTACAACGATCAGGCTATACGATTTAAGGGCATTGGAATATTACAGCGGAGTACCGTATCTTATTACCCGTGAGACGCCTGATGTGGCTTGTGAAGAGCGGGGCGATGCAAGATATGATAGATGTCAGCTGGGATGTCAATGATGCCAACGACAGACAAGGCACATCGGGCAACCAATGCCAACAGCTTTCACCAATGAGGAAGAAAAATTATATTTCATGGAGAGTTACTAGGCTTATGTTCACTGATGTTTCAGTCGTTCACCAGTTCATGAATGATTGCCGGAGATTAATCATATGCTTCAGAAATGACTGCATATGATTGCACCCAGGCTGGGTAATTTTATGAGAACACGTATGAATTCGCACGGCCTTCCAGTCTTTGGAATTGTGAGCAGCGTAGGGCAAAAAGAAAAAAACACGAATCTTTTGGTGGGCATTGTTCATTATGAACGGGACAATGCACCTAAGCCGTTGTCATGGGCCAATCTATTTCGGTTCAGCCGCGGCGTCTCGTATTTGAGATAGTTTTCAGGAAAAGTTTTCTGCTCGCTTCCTTCACTATCCGACCCACCTGGTAGCCGATTATCGACTACAAGGTAAGTTGGATAGTGCTTTGCTTCGTCTGCGAGTTGTGAACGGCACATGCATCCAAACAGAATGGTTGGTCTTACACCTCCATCTGCGCTGCCTTCTAAACGCTGACATAAATCCCTGAGCACACCCCAGAATGGAAGGCACACCCGTGCCTTGCGCAGGAGTGTGCGCGACCGTGCGCATACTGACTCGCACATGTCTGTGATGATCTGTTAGCACGCGCTCGGTCTGAGATGTGAAAGCTAGGAGGTCTGGAGACATCATATTCACTTTGCAGGTAGGACTCTATGTGCAATCATTTTTGTCAATTTCGAAAGTCTCTAGGTCGTGACCTGTGGGTCAGACAGCGTCAGACATGGTGAATTTCCGGGTACGAATTCTGTGTACGAATTTTCTTCAGGCTTTCTCATCCGACCAGCTTTAGTCTTTGTATCTCTTTTAGCAAAAGGTCTTCATATCAGGACAGTGATCTTATTTTACATTCATAAGACAGATGTGACCAAAAACATTTCGAGATTATTTTGCTACTTGAATTTTCAGTCGGCACAGAGTTTCTCCCTAGCCGGCATGCCGTTGAAAGCAAAAGATGATAGAGGTGATTTTTTGGCCAATGATCTTTTCTGACCTTCATAGAGCCATAGGAAGACATCTTTGGACGTTCTAGTGATCCGGGTATTTGAAACGAACATACAAAAACACATCACGCAAGTTTCTCAGGAAAAGCGGTTTGGTTTTGACCTTCCTGACCTGGTTCTTATACCTGACCCGAGGTACATGACATCAGTTGCAAGCTTAATTTGATTATCTTATTGTCTGAAAAGTCATCTCAAAGTTGTGTGACTTCGTCTTGCACTTCTCTATCGCGTTATCGCATCATGTTGAGCGAATCCTTGGGAATGGCCTCCGCTGATAGACATGACCTGACTGCTCTGCTATAGGTCAGCAACCTTGCCACCTTGCAATATAGATATTCTTATGCCAAAAGATCGCATATTCAATTACCGACAGCTATACAAAGTTTGGCGCGGCCACACCTCGTGATTTGGAAGTTGTTCTGGAAAGAACTCCGTGGTGGGGGAATAAATTTACCCAACACCCGGGCGCGTCTTAGGTAAATGCCTGCTTAGCCAACGTGAGTTCATGTTAGTTTGGTGTCGCTTCGAAGACGTGTCGTCGAGCTCCGTGCCGGTTTCGAATCACGCCTTTCAATGCATAGGATCAAAAATGGTCATTTTTGTAAGGTGGGCGTTTCACATTTTCCATGTTACTCCAGAGGGGAAGGTAAAGTCGTCGTCGTCAAATGGCAATATTTTGGGGAAAACACAGCTTGTGTGCTGGGGACTAAGAATCTATGCATCACAAATTTTCAAAAATAAGCTTTTTGATGCTAAAAGTAATAAGCGCGCGAAAACATCATCTTCTAGAAATCACGACTGGTTCTGTCCGCTCCAATTTTCTCACAATTCAAGTCAGACATTTTAGCCTGCAGCCCTCGCTCTAACAAGATTATTGCGAAGTGCCGCGCTGCGCTCCACTGAGTGGTGTTGTTAACGATAGCACTGGGGAGCTTCAGATCAAAAGCTAAGGATGCGCCATGTGAGCTTCACAGATTGACGCAACTAAAAAAACAAAAATGCAATGGTGTTTTGTTAGCCCTAAGCCCTTACTTATACGTTCACCTCCTACCACGTACAGCCATTCTGCGCCACGCACTCGTACGGAGTTCTGCGCTTGAGTTTCTCAAGTGTGTTATGTGATGTCTGACTACTAATACTTTGGGGGGGGGGGGTGCGGGGGGGAGGAAGTATGACAACCAGTGTGCAACCCTGTCAGTTACAAAGTAAAGGCCTCTCAGATCGGTGTGCGTACGTGTGTGCGTGCGTGGGTGCGTGTGTGTGCGTGTGTGTGAGTGCGCGCGCGTGTATGCGCATCACTCTAATCATCAGAGCCTGCGAATGTTGCATTCAGTGCCCTCTATCCTGGTTATGAGTGAACACTATGCCGCAGCCTGTGCTGTTTTGCACCCTGTCCGGTTGGTTAGGTCCAACATGTCAACTTTATTGGAAGCCATTTCGAAGCTAACACAAATTAGTTTGGTCCCACCACGCGTTGTGCTGGATTTACAGAGGTACGCCGGCCAGTACAAGTTGGAGAACCAGCACGGACGTGGTGCCTGTCTGCATCCGGACGGGTACAGGTACCTGGGGTACCTGTACGCCGGAACAGCCGAGTACTGCGGTCGAATGACCTGCCCCAGCGGCGCGGAGTTCCAGGTCAGACTGAGGGCTAGCGAGTTCGGCCTACATGGACTCTGAGGTATTCCCCGCCGCCCAGAGGGAGACCAGTGCAATGTGAAGGCGAGAAATTGCTTGAGGTCACTGGAGGCTTGGAAGGTTGCGGGTCTCTCCGTGTGATTCAAAACAGTCTAACAGTAGGCGGAAAATTAAATTACGGCCTGTTGTGAGTTCACGCGATCGGCAGCAGAAAGTGCTGAGAACGGAAACGGAATAGTTTGCACCTGCAAGTTCTGGTAAAGGCAGTTGATTGGTAGCACTTAAAAGGTTTTCTGTTTAAGCTAACTGAAATAATACATCATGTCATTGCTTCATTTTGTGTCACCTTTCCCTTTTTGGGTCAGTAAAACAGCAGCAAAATATTAGCAGGCATTAACAGCATGCAGTAAAGTACTGCACTACATAACAACATAGCTGAATTCTCATTTTATAATATTTAGTCCGAACGTTCTAAGTTAATACATTTCTGTTACTTGTATCCACGTCAAGGGGTGCTTATTGCATGATCGTTTACATTACCATCCTATTGCGAAATTTTGGGTCAACGCGTCATAATTTTCTGGCGACAACTTAACGTGACGCAGTGCTCGGCACGTCTGGCAACGTCCTCTGACGTCACCTGACCTTTTTCGACGCCGTTGCCACCGGGCAAAGGCCTTCCCAGTTAGGGGCAAAAAGCCAGCGCCTAAAGTGAGTCGACCCGACCCCAACACGGGCAGAGAAATCGAATGGCAGGTACCCTAGCCAGCTGAGCTATTGAAGTGGACATTGGCTGAATCGCATCAATTTCGTTTCCAGGTAACCAGACAGACGGCAGCCAGCTGCTTTGTGGGACAACTTGAGACGTAACGCAAGATATTAATGTTCCTAAAAAAAAAATAGCCGTGCCGTACCAGGAGGGGGGGGGGGGGGGGGGGAGGGGAAGATTTGTGGCGTCAACTCGGACCAGTTTTTAAGTATGGGCTGTGTTTAGCGGTGTTAACACCGGGGTTGATACACTACGTGCCGACAATCTTTCCTGGGACTTTGTCATGCTACAACCCGAGAAGCTGTCGCTGCGGCGAGTATAGTGCTGCCCTCCGTTGACGTGCGCGCTGGGCCAGTGCACGCAGCGCACCATATGCCTGCACGCAGGCCCCACCAGAACACCTTCAACGAGAGCGCCCACAACTGTCCCCACGTCAGCCGGCCGCGTCTTGACTTCCCGCCACCGGGCAGGGCGTGTTCTCGCAGGGACAGCCGCACGGCCCGGGCCAGGTGACATACCCGCAGGGCGCGCGGGACGCCGGCCTGTGGAGCCGCGGACGGCTGATCCGCCTGCTCGTGCCGTCCCCGGCGGCCGTCCGGTTCGACCTGCTCCTCACCGGACACTATGTCGGCTGGTACGAGCGGCGCGTGCTGCACGTGCGGGTGAGTTAGAGGCGGCGGCGGCGGCGGTGGTGCGCTCTGGCGCCGGGATTGTGGGCGGTTCAGCAGGTCGGGCCTGTGGGCAGGCGGAGATGTTCCTTGGCGAGACGGTGAGTTATTGTTGGGCGGCTCGAAATTGGGCGTCTGGCAACAGCGATACCGACACTTGGAGTGTCGGTATCGTGGAGGGTGGTTTGGTCGCAGGACACACAAAACGCTGCGGAAAAGATAGATAAAAATAGAATTGACTAATGGTAGCCTGCGAAAAGGTACGGAATAATGCAATTCTTTATTTCTTTTTTATTGATTTTTTAGCATTTCTTTTGTATTGTCTGTCACTGTAGCAAAGTAGTGGTTTTCTACGGTTCCATGCGTGCGTGCGAGCAGCGGCTGCAAAGCAGCAAGTAGGTGTGGTGTGCAGAAGCTAGTCACTATGTTTTATTATATATATTTATATATAGCATTTCTTTATTGTATTTTTATGTTATTTTATGCATTATATATCTTTTTATTATTTGTCCACGTATTTCTTTCAGCCCGGCTGCATTTCGTCCCCACTCGGGACATCACTGTCCGCATGATCTTTCCACAGTTTCATGCGTGCGATGCTACGCCACGCTACGATATGAGTCACCGCATTCGTCTCTGTTCCCAATGGAAGACTCTCTCCCTCCTTCTGCCAGTTCAGCGCCGACTATAGACGACGGGGGGGGGGGGGGGGCTCATCATCGGCTGGCGCCCCCTGTGAATCACCATTCCCCGCCCAGCCCGCGCAAGGCTGGGAAGGCCCTGATGGCCGAGACGGTGCCACCTCGACACCATTGCCCGCAGGAGCCGGAGACCCAGCTGGAGACGGTGCTGAAGAGCCTGGAGGGGGGTCGGAGCGTCGCTGACTGCCCGCCGGAGCAGCTGGACCGGCTGACCAACCCGAAGCTGCGCGACCGACGCACTGCCGGCTTTCCCAGCCACCGGTATGGCCGGCGGCGCACGGCGGCTGCTGTGGCGTATAGAGCCGGACACGAGATAAAGTGCTACTTCACTGAAGGCACCGGCAAGGCAATGAAAAACTAACGCAATATGCCACAGCTCTCACGAATTTGCAAACAAATATTTGCAGATAGGACTAATCCATTAACGAATAGTGTTCATTCAGCCGGAGGTCTTGGGGACTTCGCTTGCCCACGCAGGTGTGTGAGCTGAGTCAGCCCTTCCAGGCTCAGTATCGCCTCGGTTGTCGCTGGCAGGTACAGCTCCGCAGCCCGGCCACTGGCTCCAGTCCACATGCTGGCCTGGAACGACACGACTGCGCTCTGCGAGGTCCAGGAGCACACCTACCGCACAGAGAAGACGGGCAGATTGGACGCGGTCAGTGAGAGCGGCGCGGCCGCCGAGCGAAGGGCGGCCCGGTGACAGGCACAGATCGGTTCCGACTGGAGCAATATGGACATAGCCGATAGCCCGACGCTGTCCGCAAACAGACAGACCCAACGGGGTGTATCCATAGCTTGATCGAGGGCGAAGAATGTGCCAGAGCGTGCGTATGGTCAGGTTTGCAGGCAAGTGCAAATGGGCGAGTCAATTGGGTCAGAAATAGGCATCCTGCTAAGACCAAGAGCACGCTTGGTACGGGAGTTTGCACTCGAGGATACTGACGTTAGATGGATGTTTCATAGAGCGACTCTCGAATCATTGTCAGAAGGCAAGCACGCATTTTGGTTCTGTGGTACGTATACAGAACCTCTCGCTTTCAAATGGGATGGGACTTTGATATTTAATAGATAAAGCATTGCTTAATTACGCATATTATTGGAGAAGTTTCCGTCGCCTGTATTCGCGTCAACAAGTCATCGCCATGAGCGTGAACAATACCCTCTCTCTCTCTCTCTCTCTCTCCTCTCTCCTCTCTCTCCTCTATCTCTCTCTCTCTCTCTCTCTCTCTCTCTCTCTCTCTCTCTCTCTCTCTCTCTCTCTCTCTCTCTCTCTCTCTCTCTCTCTTCTCTCTCTCTCTCTCTCTCTCTCTCTCTCTCTCTCTCTCTCTCTCTCTCTCTCTCTCTCTCTCTCTCCCTCTCTCTCTCTCTCTCTCTCTCTCTCTCTCTCTCTCTCTCTCTCTCTCTCTCTCTTTCCGGGACCCGAACTGACCATCTCCTTAATATGCATGATGTGGTCTGCATGTATGCACGAGGGCCATTGTGCCGACTCGGCTGCAAAGTAGCCAGTAAGTGTGGTGTGCGGAAGCTCCTGGACCGTCTCTTACACCAGTTGGCCAGTGTGCGTGCATGAGAGCCGCCATGCTACCTTTCCTACTTCCTTAGAACGTGGTCACCGTGCACATGCAGGGGCTCCCGTACCGACCCGCTCCGAGGGAGGTGGTTATCTTGAGCGTGCAGGGGTAGCTGTACCGACCTCTCCCAAGCAGGAGGTGGTCAGTGTGCGCTCGCAGAAGCTGTTGTACCGACCTCTCCCCGGCAGGAGGTGGTCAGTGTGCACATGCAGGAGCTTCTGCGGCCTGACCGCGTCGGGCAGCTGCCCAGCGGTCGGCTGGAGCGGGCCAGCCTGCTGCTGATGCACGCCAGCGCGCTGAACCGCTCTGACGTCATCCGGCTGCTGCTGCGCACCGTACACCTCAGCGCTGACGTCACGGACTCAGCCGGCACCACAGCCCTCATCTGCGCCGCCGTACGCGGGCCGGGCTGCCACCTGGTGGAAGCGGCTGGAAGCTGCCGGGATCGTGATCAGTAGCTGCCGATGAAGTGTGCTAGCGCCGGCCAGCGGATCAGAATCTTCCTCGTTGCTCAGCTTCGAAGCTTGTGCTCGACTGTAGGTCTCGAGCGTAGTATGGCCTGAGTTATCACCACATAGCATGCATACAAGCGTGACATGACACTCAAGATCTGACCCGTGACTGTCTCCTCCCCTAAAAATTGCAAATATCGACGTGACATGGCAAATATGAGAGGAAGCGGGAGGTAAATTTAGAAAGAACATGTTGACACATGAACTGATCACGCACCCGACTGGTCCGTTGTCATCGGTCGTGTCGCTGCAGCAGCCGCAGATCCATCCCGTGACAGGGCCGGAGCTGACCTCACGGACATCCGTACTGCGGCAGATGCGGGGTCACGCGGCAGCCGTGAACACGCTGCTGGACCACGGCGCCGACGTAACCACGTGACGGACGAGGGCGTGTCGGCACTGAGCGTGTGCCTGGCGCTGCACCACCCCGACTACGCCACCAAGTACCACCTGGACCAGCTGGCCGTGTTCACTTACCCGGACCTCACACAGGTCAGCGCGCCGAGCCCGGGCAAGGTTATCGTAGAACTGTTTCCCTGCTTTCAATGTTTGGGAAGTTATTGCGAAAGTTTTTACGATGGGCTGATGTTTTTTCCACCTTATGTATCTGCTACGCAGCATGGCTTCCTGCCGCGTCAAAAGATGACGCAAGTCACGGCAAAACAAAGTCTCTTTGCGCTTGAATGCGCCTCACTTTTCAAAGGTGCAGCCTGGAACCTTAGACTGCAACGTTAGCACCAATCTGCTGTGTGGAACAGTTCTGATCAGTGGGCCCTCGCACATGCAGGGTCAGATGTGTAAAGTCCTTGACAACCAGCCCCATAAGTTTGACGGTGTTGTGATTGAAGCTTGACCGGTATCGGTGCGAACTGATGTCTCAAGAGGCTGCTGTGCGTTTGGCTCTGTTCATATATCAAGCGCACTGTATTAGTAATATATTTTCATTTAAGTTCATCAGCCACCATTTAAAAAGCTTTCATGGCTAGTAGACTTTGTATTGGCCTGAATATCTGGGAATCAGCGTTCCACGTTTAGCCGGCGCTTGAATTCGTGAACCATTACACCACCATTCGATTCGTTCGGAAACACCGAGTCAACGGTGCTAATTGTACGGCCAAAGCTTAACATGCCGCAACGCGCGGCACTGGCATTCCATCCCAGAGTGCGGGACCCCCTGACGTCGCCTGACCTCTCTCGCATCCGTTACTACCGGTCGCAGTTCATGCCAGCCAGGGTCAAATATTGAGCGCATATAGCGACATGCACCCTACTTCACCTCCCCTTGGTGAATCAGGACGCAGGCGCCCAAACCAAATGAGCTAGTAGAAGGAAGTTAGGCTTGGGAAGGAAATCTCAGTTGATGTTCTTGTAGGTGAGCTTCATTACCTGGGAAAGAATATCGACATATCTGGAATAACATAACAATATAATAAGATCGGAGGACAGGAAAGCACAACAAACTCAAACCGACATTCCCATGCTTGAATCATGCCGAACTTCCATGTGGAGAGGGTAATAAGACAACACCTTTAAATGCGCTGAGACCTTTGAATCCGTTGCTATTGTTAGTATAACGTCAATAGGATTAAAAACATACACTGGCACGGCCAGTCATGTATTTCAGTTGACTGGAGCCAAATATTCAGATACATTTCAACGTCATGTATTCCTGGGTACGTAAGTTATGTTTTTCTACACCTTAATTTAGGTCACATGGTTCTGCCCTGAGCTTCGCAAAATCGGTCTTATTTGTTCAAAAAATCGGTGTAGCGGTATGATCGCTCCTCCGAAGTGGAGGTCTGCACAATTATCAGCATTAAAATGGGTAGGATACCTGATATATGCTCTTGCTGTTCTTCATTCCAAATGCGTCGTTTTGTTATTCTGGAGGTGTCGTTTTTTCTCATATGCTGAAGCTTGTCCGCAAAAATAATTGATATTTCCTTAACTTATCTTCCGCAAATCGTCCTTATACACTGAACACCACTTTTGAGAACTTTCATGGTAAATCCTCTTGGAAGGATGCTGCACGGTCTCCACGATTGAAACCTCTTGCTGCATGGTCTCATGTGAGACCAGTTTGTCACCTCAGGAACTATGTGGAGGGACGGCCCTCTTGCGGGACTTTGAGACTCTCCGCTAATTTTACAAACTCTCGGCGTGCCGCCGTGAATACTTTTGAGACTATTCACGATTTTCACAAAGTTCTCAGCGTACCGCCGCCCAGCGACCGTCTACACGAACGTGGTGTACGATAACGATATGTTAACGATATGTAACACTTAACGATATGTTTGTGATGAAAGGTGACGCTTGCAGTCAAGTTGCAGTGGTTTATTAGCCTGAACATAAGGTAAATCACGTGCAGTTCACAGTTCAAGTCTTGTTGAAGCTCATGTGACGTTTTGGAAATTTTAGGAAAAGTAGTTATTCACATGAAGCTATTATCTGCAACGTCTTTTTTTTTAAATAAGCAGTACCAGGCGTTACACGGTGTCCCTGAAGCAGAACTACAAAATAGCTATGTTTCTTCTAATAAACTGATGACAAACTGTTGTCATGCAATTTGCAGTTGTCACACAACCACGCTATTTAAGTTAAATACTACACATTGAAACAGCTTTGCTCCATAAAATCGGTGTGAGTTGAGCTTCGGTGACTGCATTTTTTTATCGCACTTGACCATTCTCGAACACCTTGCGTTGCCGCCAAGGTGCACCGCTTTCGGCCGCCGGCTTCGGGAGGTGGAGGTGTTGGTGGCGTTTAATGGTAAGTTAACATTTCCGGTACGTAAGCTATGCTGTGTACTTTTACTGCAGTTTTGCAATTTTTACACTCTGGGCTGGTGGCTGATGGCCGGTTGTCCCTCAAAAATCTGATGGAGGTCAGCTGATATGGTTGACCCAGGTTGCCAGATTTGTCATACCGGACGAGGTGATACCCGCAGATGCACCGATTGTAATCCAAGTGGAGGTAGCTCTTTTGCCCGGGGCAGGGGTGTGGATTTGGGGGTGGTGGGTCGATCTCAACAATTTAACTGGTGGAACAAGCTACGCCCAGTTACCCGTATTACTATGTTTGAGAGCAGAGTCACTGCTATGATTTTGTCAGGAGTCCGGAGCTCTATGAGTACGAATCCCGCCGACTTTTTCTCCCTTTTTCGACAGCCTTCTGTCATTTGAAGTGGAAAATGAAAAATCCGGGCCTGAAACAGAGGTCTGGCTCCCCTAGCTGTGTCCCTGTTTGGGAGGGACCAGAGGCATACTGAACTTATGACATGGTCCATGTTTTGTATTTCATGCACATTTTTCAGCTTAAACTTACAATACTCAACGTTACACCAAACAGGTCCAGGCCAAATATAAGTAATAGTCATTTACATAAGGCTACGAGCTAAGAGTTTTGTGTTATGCCAACACGCTGTCTCACAGGCGGGCTGTCAAATCCTGCACTCGATTTTACTTTGTCCCTAAACTCTCTCTGCGATTCCCGTTGGAACTAGTTTCTTGACCATGGTTTTGAAAGTTTGTGCTTTTTATTGCATGGCTCGAAGATTGGTGACAGCGGACATGGAGCAGCCCTGGGGCTCTTGCGAACACTGAGAAGTGCTAGGACTTGGACCATCAGCTGAGCGGTCAATATTTTATTTTTTTCTACGTTAGTTCAGTTCTGTTATCTCCCCGTATTAATATTAATTTGGCGTCATTAAATACCCTGAACAAGGGCACTAATATATTTTTCTGCATGGGAGGTTGCATAGAGCTATACCCTGCCCCATGGGGCCCAACAACGTTTTGCTACCTTGGGGGAACACTAAAGTCACAAGTTGACCGGGCGCCAAAACCTTCATTTCGGGGCACTATAGCATATATTTTTTGAGTGTACTCCCTTCCAGATAGCACCACAATGACCCCAAACCTTTATCAGCAAGAGGTACCGGATTCCAGCGACACAATCATGCTCCGTTTCCCACCAAGACGAATTCCCGGATCGTTTGCTTGGGAGCGGGGACACCAAAGCTTTCTTTCCTTCTGATTTCTTAATGAAACATTTTTGGGTACCACAGCCTTTATCATTATGAAGCACCAAATCAAAGCGGACCATTTAAAGGGCCCAAGGTCCTTATCTTTAAGGAGACAAATCCAGGGGCACCATGATATCTTTACCGTTAACCCTGACAAATATGCTGCATTTCTCCGGTTGGTGGACCGACACCACAACCTTCGTTTCGGGGCACCATCAACTTAATTTTCTAGAGTCGTCTAGCTCCAGGCCAGCAAACAGGACAGACTCCAAGAAATTTATTTTCAAGAGGCAACTTATTCCAGGTGACATCATGATGTCCGCTTCTTTCCATTGACTAAATCCTGGACGGCCATTCGCGAAAAAAGCACCAAAACATTAAATTCAAGGTACCATGATATTCGTTCTCTAAAGGCCACCAAACGGAAGCGAGCGGTGCAAACGGCCCGCAAGGTCTCGATTTTTCAAGTGGCACCAATATAGGGGCACCACAATTTCTTGCCTTCCCCCCTGATGAAATTATGGAATCAGCCCCCCTCGGTGCAGGGCACCAAAAGCTTTCCTTTTGGGTATGGTAATCTTGATTTGCAAGAGACACCCAACTCCACAGGGGAACATAAAGGGCAGCAAAATAGTTTTTCAAGTGACGACCAATTCCAAACCACCACAAGGGATCTAACGTCTTTATTTCTTAGGAGAAACCATATGTTAACGCTCACGGGACCCACGACGAAGGGCTCGATCGGAGGGTCAGATGTGCATGCCGGAGATCATATTCAAGGTAACCCACATCTGATCCTAAAATATCAGTGAGAAGACCTGTTGCACCGTTCGGGGCCCTCGAGACAGTGAGGGTCTTATATCAGCTGACTTAGACCACCAATACCGAACAGTCGACTCCGTACCGGTCTAGGCCCCAGTAGGGTATTTCCCAAGCATGGAAGAGGGAAAGCCTGTAAATGTCATTCAGAAGGCCTCTGGCATTGGTCGGTCCCCTGAAACGGTGAAGGGTTACCTGTGCTTGCCAGTGGACCACAGTGCCTAACGGGGGACCCTGTGTAGACAACGGGCCCAAAGTCGACCATGGGCACATTTCCTGAGCAGGGACAGCTACGGACATTTTGTAAAAAAAGCATTTAGCACCACAAAAATGGCTCTTGACAAAATCATAAAAAATAATCATGATCATAGTCATTTGACAGAATTCTTCCAAGCGTTGGTTATCACGGAAATCACGTGAAGTGCTAACGTTAATGCTGGAAAACACAAGAGAAAGCACCACAAAACGTAACAGCAAAAGCAATACGCAGGTGCCATCCAAAAAAGCTCACCATGAACACACACAGCACAACAAAACCAGCCTAAGTGCAGCGCAGCAACACCACGCGCTGCTATCCCTGCGGTCGGCTCTCTGGACATGGCCTGCCAGGATGATGCGGCTTTGCATGCGAACTACTGCTTGAGTTTCA